GAGAAAGGGGAAAGTGAAAGAGCCCACCTTCTCTATGTGAAGTACAAGACTATCAACAAATTGAGCAGGAAAAAAAGTGTTAAAAAAAGAGAAGGATGAGAAAGGAAGAGACATATCAAGGATATCTCATTGATAGCCATGGAAGTCAATTGATCTCAAGTGCAGCCATGTGAAACACAAAACTAATCTGCAGACACGAGGTAACAATAGTAAATGCTTTCTCCTCTATATATGAAGTGAGAGAAGAGGATATCTATGCTGGGAAAATTGACGGCTATTAAGCATAAAACACTGTTTGGAGTCTAGGATAGCCAGTGTGAACCAGAAGTCAGGTCTAGTTCCGGTTGACCCTTCCAGCATCCCTAATAGACAAAATGAACAAGGGGTATTGGCCTTTGCATGTTCATTATATAAAAAAATTCCCTAATGGTTGAGATTGTAATGGCCTAAACTGTATGTTGCCCAGCCAGAGGTTTAACTGTGTTAGGGGGAAAAAAATCACAGATTTCAAACAAAAGACATATTAAGACCCATATAGTAAAATAGACATGAAGAGATGCAAAATGCGTGGTAGAAGATTAGGCAAATTAGCCACAAAATTATATTTGAAGATTTGAAAAACCACGAAAGGCACCGCCAAGTGGTCATAATATTAGAATCATGGATTTGAATCAACAGAAAGAGGAGAGAATAAAGTAATTCGAAATAAATAATATAATATAGTGTGTTTGTAATTTATTTTAATTTAAATTATCATAAGCAGACTCGAAAAACATCCTCGGAATCCGTGACATTCAGAAATCAAACACCTACAACTAGGGTTGAGCAAGGAATCCGTGAAATCCGTAATCCGATCCAGTCTAATTCAATCTGATAAGTTTGGATTGGTTTTTTGAATCTGTAGTTCGGTTACGGATTGAAGAATTAAAAATCCGTAGCCTACGGATTGGTTCCGGATTGAACCCTACGGTTCCGGATTGTAACCGATTCGGACCGTATGCAAATAATCTATATTTTTATTATACATCCTCCTCCATAGTATCTTCTCTTATTTTATATAAAACCTAAACTCAAATCTAAACCTGTATAATATATTCTTTAATTATTTTTATTTGTTAGTTTTTAGTTTTAATTTGTAATGGTCTAAATATTTATAGTGAAATTAGTTTCTTATGGTTGTTTAAATTTTAGAATAGTATGTCGCTATTATAGAAAAACATATTACTGTTGCGAAACTAATATAGCGCTATATTTATGTTTTTATGAAATTAAAGTATTATATATATATTTTTTTATCATTTAATTATGTGAATTCATAATTCTAAATCGATCTAATCCGTATTTAAATAGATTGGTTCGGATTGGTTCTATAATTTAAACAGATTAGATTAATTCTAATTTTTTAAGAACCATAAATAATAAATTAATCTTAATTTTAACCTAATTCAATCCAATTCAATTCAATCCGAACCATGCTCGCCCAATCCACAACCGCACTCTTTCAACTTTAATGTTTGGGATTTCAATTGGTGAATATTGAATTTGTGGCTTACGTACGAGTAAAGGAAATGCATTTATTGTGAATCTGAAATTTCGGCAACCGTCATAAAATTTAGAAAACACCACTGGAACCAACTCAATAATAATAGAATGGACTCCTCAACCTATCAATTTTTTATTGGGGCAATTATAGACCCCTTAAATGGTGCTTTAAAATTATAAAATTATTGATAAAAGAGGAGATTAAAAAAATCTAAATAATTATTCTAAAATTATAAAACTTGTTATATATATATATATTTTCAAGGAACTCATTGTCATATAGCCATTTATATGGTGTGGTTTGAAAAGTGGATTGACTTTTTAATTTTTTTAATTATTTTAGTTTGAAATTAAAAAATCTTGTTTGAAATTTTTTTTTATTTTTTGATTTTTTGGTGAGGTATCTGCATGTTAAATGACCAAACTACCCTTGGTATTTTACATTTTCACTCCTAGTCATCCTTCCTCCATGTCAGCGTCATTGTACTTTTTTCTTTCTCTTTTATTTTATTTATTTATTTTTTGGCTGAGGTGTATTTGTCATTTTTTATGATTTTTTTTTAATTTATGTTTTTGTCATTTTTTGTATATATTAATTTGTTTCTATTTTTCAAAAATAATTTTTCATGTGTTTCATTTATTTTTAAATTACGTGGCAAATGCTAATTTCTGTTTAAATTTTTTTTTTTGGATGAGGCATATTTTTCTGGTTCTTTTTTTTAATTTACGTTTTTGTCATTTTTATTTTTATTTGTATACATTAATTTGTTTTTATTTTTCAAAAATGGTTTTTCATGTGTTTTATTTATTTTTAAATTACATGACAAATGCTAATTTCTGTTTTTAAATTTTTTTTTTGGATGAGGCATATTTTTGATGTTCTTTTTTTTTAATTTACATTTTTTTCATTTTTATTTTTATTTGTATACATTAATTTGTTTTTATTTTTCAAAAATAGTTTTTCATGTGTTTTATTTATTTTAAAATTACGTGGCAACTGCTAATTTCAGTTTTTAAATTTTAAATTTTTATTTTTATTTTGGTTGGATGAGGCATATTTTTGTGGTTCTTTTTTTTTTATTTACGTTTTTGTCATTTTTTTTATTGTTTTCAATTTGTTTTTTTTTTTGGGCTCGGAAAAAGCTTTTTTATTTATTTATTTTTTTTTAACATGATGTGGAGAATGTAAATTTGGGTGTTATGTTGTCTTTTATATATATATATATATATTAATTTGTTTTTTATTTTGGAAATGGCTTTTTCATTTTTTTTTTGAAATAACATGAAAACTGCTAATTCCAGTTTCATTTTGTTGACTTTTTTTTTTTGTTTAATTTGTTTTTTTTTTTTCTGAAAAGGTTTTTTCTTGTTTTTTAATTTTAAATGACGTTGACAATGCTTATTTTAGTTTCATTTTAATGTGTTTTTTTGTTGTTGTTGTTTTTTATTTGTTTTTTTTTGTTGGAAAAAACTTTATTATGTTTTTTTTTTCTTTTTCAAATGACCTGAAAAATGATAATTTCTATTTTTTTTAATTTGTTTTTTGTTTTTGGAAAAGGATTTTTTATTTTTTTTAAATGACGTGGAAAATGCTAATTTTGATTTTATTTTATTGACTTTTTTTATTTTTCATTTTTTTATTTTTTTTGGAAAACGCTTTTTCATGTTTTTTTTTTTAAATTTTAAATGACATGGAACATGCTAATTTTGGTTTTTATTTTATTGTCTTTTTTTTTTGACAAATTACAAACACCTCCCTCGAGATTTGGTGAAAATACAGATTCCCCTTTGAGGTTTGAGAAATTACAAATTGCCCCTGAAGGTCAAATTTGCATAACAAATTACGGGAAAATCTGTATGAAAATAAAAATCCCAGGGGGCAATTTGTTGTGGAAATATAAACCTCAGGAGGCAGAATGTAATTTCTCAAACCTCAGGGAGGAATCTATATTTTCATCAAACCTCGCGGGGGTGTTTGTAATTTGCCCTTTTTTTTTGGTTTAATTTTTGTATTTTTTTTTTTGGAAAACACTTTTTCATGTTTTCTATTTTAAATGACGTGGAAAATAGTAATTTTGATTTTATTTTTATGCCTTTTTTTTTATTTGTTTTATTTTTCGGAAAAGGAATTTTTATATTTTTATTTGAAGATGACGTGAAAAATGATGTGACTATTTTGTCTGCTAGTGGTATGAATTGGTGCTTGTGTGAAAGTGAAACAGATTCGCCTGGGATAGTTTTGTAAATTCACCAAACACTGGATTGCTTGTGGGCACATGATGCTGTTTTGGGTGTCTTTATTTAAACACCACATTTAGTCTCAAGTCACACCACTACTCAATTCACACCTTTAATAATTTGAAAAAATATAATTTTTCTTAACACACACAACGTTCCATTTTTGTCCTCACTGCCCACCACTTAGTACACACCTCAAACTCAAAAAAAAAAAAAAAAAACCAGAATACCTTAATTTTTCCAACTCTTTCTATGCTTCGTATCTCATCATTATCATCTTCATCACCTTGATCATGAAAAATGGAAGTTGTAATGGATCATTCAATGCCAAAGCGCCACAAACCTCTTGATAAACCCCAGTTGTAATGGATCATTCATTCAATGGTTGATCAAAGTTTTGATCTTCTTGTACTTCCCTTTGGATTCACTGGTTTTCTTTGATTTCACACTTTGGACAATCTTGTGAGTTCTTGTCACTCTCTCCTTTTTCAACCATTCTTGGGTTCAATTGGGGTGTTTTCTTTCTAGGTTTTTAGTTTTTTTTGTGATTCTCACATACTACATTAGCCCATTTCTGTTCTAGGGTTCAATCTTGAACAATTTTTGAGTTTTTTTGTTTTTGTCACTCTCTCTGTTTTGAGCAAATTGGAATTTTTACTTCAATTGTGAACTCATTTCAGTTCTAGGGTTCAATCTTGCATAATCTTTTTGAGTTCTTGTCACTCTCACTCTCTCTCTCTCTCTCTCACAGCACTTGCTGGATCCAATTGGGTTTGGGTTATTGTAATTCGAAGGATTTGAATACATACATAAAATATATATCGCTAGTGTTGTGTAGTTGACGTGAAAAATGCCAGTAACAGATTATTAGGATTGGTGTGTAATTAGAATTCTGTCCAAAATGATAATTTAACTAATGAAGGTTGTGTATTCAATTAAGGTGTGTCTTTGGTCATTTTGGTCATTTTAGATAAGGTTATTATTGTAATAAAAAAATAATCAATTAATGGTGTGCCTTAAAATAAAATGGAGTGTCTAAATAGAGGCACCCTGCTGTTTTGTCTCCTGATGACTACTTTAGCCAATTTTAAACAGATGTGACTATTTTAACCCCCATCTACATTGTCAAACAGAGGCTATGTTTGCATATAGTTTCTTGACTTGAGTGAACTCAATCTTGCATTCTTTTCATTTCTATATTTTCCAAGCCCACCATGACCATGGAGGTTAATGTGTTGTCTAAGAAGTTGATAAAACCATCAACTCCCACCCCAAATCATCCCAAAACTTACAAGTTATCTTTCTTTGATCAATTGGCTCCTCCAGCACATATTCCTCTCATTTTCTTCTACACCGCTGATGATGATACCAACAAAGAGACGGTCAAAATTGACCAAAAACTACAACAACTAGAAAAATCATTATCAGAAATCCTAACCCTATTCTACCCAGAAGCCGGAAGATTTGTAAATGATGATCTCTTGATAGATTGTAATGACCAAGGTGTTGAATTCTTGGAAGCCAAAGTCAATGTTCAACTCATGGAGTTTCTCAATCAAGGTCCTAAGCTTGGGCTTGTCAACCAGTTTGTTCCATGGAGTATAGGGCCAGCCAAGTTAGCCACCACTCCGATGGTGGCGATTCAAGCCACCGTCTTCGAATGTGGTGGTCTAGCCATATGTGTCCACGCTTCGCACATTGTAAATGATGGATTCACGGGAAGTAGGTTCATTCAAGCTTGGGCCACTGCAAGCCGGCTAGGGCTCAGCAAAGTAGTATGTCCGAGTTTTGACCTACCGTCTCTCTTCCCATCGAGAGATGTCTCTGCTGTCCTCAAAGCCCCACCCCCTAAAGACGCCGGGGCTAAGGTTATCACAAGGAGGTTCCTGTTTGATGCAGCGACAATATCTGCATTCAAACAGGAAGTCAAAGATAGTATCAGTGAACGGGAACCTTCAAAACTAGAGGTGGTGATGGCATCCACATGGAAGGCTCTCATCCGCCTCAACCGAGTGAAACATGAGGGGAAGCTGAGGCCTTCTGTAATGACCCTACCAGTGAATTTGCGAGGTAGAACAGCCTTAGAAACCCCAAAGAACTCTTTTGGAAATTTTTACATGACATGTCCATCCAAATTTGAACCAGAGGAGAGCGAAACAACCCTTCTCTCTCACTTGGTGGGTCTTATCAGGAATACAGTGAGGAACACACTTGCAAAAGCTGCAAAACTCACCAATGCCGATGAGGTTTTCGCGGCGCTGTTGAACGATCTCAATGAAGCGATGGGAGCGGTTACCGACGAGGAAGTTGATGCACATTTTTTCACTACCATGTGTGGATTCTCCTTGTATGACACTGATTTTGGTTTTGGCAAGCCATTTTTGGTGAGTAATGCAAGTGTACCTGTGGAATTGGTTTCTTTGATGGACACCAAGTGTGGGACTGGAATTGAAGTATGGTTGAGCTTGAAGCAACCAGACATGGCTGTGCTGGAAAAAGATTCAGAGCTTAGAGCTTTGATGATTATGGGTTAAGGGTAAATTTGTCTTTTAATCGTTGATAATGATGAACTTCAAATAACTGTGTTGAGCCTGTTTTAATTTTGTATTACGAATTTGATAATCATTATCGTAATTACTGAATTTTGTTATATTTGTCTCGTTTGAAGAGTAGGTAGTCCATCTTATCTGATAGTACTTAAAATTTGATTTGGTTTGATTTAGTTTGTCTTTTTTGAAAAAAAAAATTTGTTTTCAAAATTATAACGATTATGTATTTTTTAAAAGATAGATGTAATAAAATTAAAGTAAATACAATTATTAAATTAATTTGAATGATTTATGTATAAAAACTTATAAATTAAATAAATCACATTATCAAAATCAGACCGTTGTGAACTCACAACAGGTCTGAGACGTTTTAGTCCACTCAAATATTGACACTTGTTACTATGCTATTATTAATAAATTTAAAATTACTGTTTACTATAAAATTTTATTTCAAAAATCGCCTTCATTTAGAATTTTGAACTTCTGGTTGTGATTCTACAACTAAAATGGATCTTGTTCATAAATTCTAAATTCTGATTTTTATAAAAAAAAATAAATAAATTTTCATATACTTTCATTGAACATAATCTGGCAATTTGGATTTCTTTTTGAAAAAGAAACAAAAAAAAAAAGTTTGATTAGAATATCGTGATATCTGAATTTTGGTTTCAAAATAATTCGTTGGCGATTAGATTTAACCTAATTTATTTAAAAAATTTACCATCGAAATACTTAATAAATTTCATAACGCGTTACCGATGAGACCGAGCTTCAATTAAAAAACAGCATAAAATCTTTATAAAGAGAGCGTGTTCTCTTGTGAAAACGAAGGCCAGTACACAATAATGTGGTGGTGTCCAAATTTGAATTGGATTGGTTAGAAAACTTTAAAATAATGCAGAGATTGACAAAACAATTATTCAGCATGCTTAGTTATCATTTTTTTAAAAATATTTTAAAAAAAATTTTATTTTTTTATTTTTCGTGTTATTTTGTTTTTACTGAATTTTTTTAATATTTTGAGCAATTTTTTTAATTTTTAGACATACCAAACATATATATACCTAAAAAGTAAACAAAATAAATAAAAAAGACCTTTTAAAAATTCACTAAAATACCAAAAATACAAAAAAAAAAACTAGAATTCAATATATTTTTTGTATTTTTATGTATTTGTTAAATTTTAAAAATATTTTTTCACAATTTTTTTTTATTTTTTAGATACATCTAAGTAAAGTGCATCTAAAGAAGTAAAAAAATTATTTAAAATTTTAAAAATATTCACTAAAAATAAAAAAAATATAAAAATTCAAAAATTTAATTCAAAAAATTCAAACCAAATACACACTTTAATTACTTCCCAAAAAATGGTGGAGCCCTTTAGATATGTAAGTTGCACATTTTCTGGTCACAATTTCTATGCACAGCTTTTTCTGGGGCACATTTTGTGAATTGGGATCCTCCCCTGGAGCCCCCTCCTTCATTTTCTCCTTGCAGGGCCTTCGGGTCCACTTTAAGGCCCAGTTTTGATAATCCGAACCGTCATATTTTTAGATTTATTCAGTATATCATACCTGTAAAAAATCAAGTTGATCGAATATCATAAAGTATGTGTTCGGAAAACTGTTTATTAAAAAAGAGTTTGTAGTCCCAATTTTCTGAACGCATACTTTCTGATATCCGATTAACTTGATTTTTTATAGGTATAATATACTGAATAAATCTAAAAATATGAACGGTTCGGATTATCAAAACTGGGCCTCAAAGTGGACCCGAAGGCCCCTGCAAGGAGGGAATTAAGGAGGGGCCTCAAGGAGGGGATCTGGACTCGTTGTTAATCACACTATCCTTTTTCAATATATATATATATATATGATTTCTTGAGTCCGATTTCGTGTTGCTGCCATAAATGGGTTTGATTTTATAGGGTTTAATTTCTTGGGTTTTATGGGCTTGATTTCTTGTACACAGAAAGAACATTTTCTTTCATTAATCTCAAAGAAAATATATGCTGCATACATATATATATATATGGAGAGAGAGATTTTGTTCTTGTGATTATAAGGAAGTTTAGAGAGAGAGAGAGAGAGAATGTTGGCAGTGTTTGATCAATCTGTGGCAAAGAGCCCAGAAGGCCTGAGGAGTCAAAGCTCTGTTTCAGAATCATCAGCTCTGAAAGATGGGTCGTTGATTCAAGACTTGTATTCTTCGCTCCATCCGAATTCTGTCACCATCAATCTTGGACTCCCTGGTTTCATAGCCTACTCTTCTCACAAGCAAAGCCCACTTCTTCCTCGGTACAAATTACTCACTCATCTTCAATCTTTTCTCCTTATCTTTTACTGTGTTTTTATATATGCATATATACACTTCTTCATTCTATTTCATTTATACCTATACACTTGCAAGTACAACAAACATACATGAGTATGGTTCATTGTTTTTTTTATAATTTGTGGGTTGTTTTTTAAAATTTTCTTGGAAAGAATAACTTATCAACTTTTTTACTTCTTTAAATTTTTTTTGTTGGGTTTTCTTATTATGTCTTAAGTTTATTTATATGTTCAATTAATATGTGCCATGTGTATATATATATATATATATAAATAGAAAAATCGAACAAAAACCAAATCCACTATTCCTATTTTCTCTTTCTTTCCAAAACTTGGCCCTAAATTTTTTTTCAATTGGTGATGCTTGCCCTGCTAGATTATTTTCTGCAGTGGACGATATATTCTGCTTGTTTCATTGGCACATTGAGAACGTAGCACCCCTCAAACAGTATGGATTGATTTATTGGGTATTATTGGTTTATATAAAATTGAAGTTTTGAAGCAAAAATATGTTATGGTTTGGTTAATTTAAAGCAAAAATCAGTTTTGATTTGTAATAGAAAAGGCAAAAAAGGAGGTAGAGAGTTGGTAGATCATTTTTTTATTCTTACTAGTGGTTTTTGCCCAACTGATGTGTTTGCCCAGCTGCTAGTGTGTGCTAGTGTGTGTTCTACTTCTGTATTGCAGAAGGGGAAAAATTAAAAAATATGAACTTTTATTGATGCTCTCATTTTGTCTTTTACAGATTTTGGATGTAGAAGGGGAAAAATGAGAGAGGCAAAGATGAAGATAGAAAGATAAAGCAAAGGCCAAAGATTTTGACAAAGATGAAAGAAAACACAAGGATAAGGAAACATTAAAGTGGGAAAATTAAATTGAAGGAACAATTTGGTTGGACTACTGAAGTGGCTCCTTTGGTTGGCATGAGTAGTGACTTGATTGTTCGCAATGAAATTGGGTCAAAATGAATGTAGTTAAATTAATCTGAATGTTATAGATTAATATTTGTAATGACAATATCGATTGAATAAAATGATATGCTGGTTGATTGAATGAAACAGTTTGTGTATCTTAGTTGAATGAGATGATTTAGCAATTTTGATTGAATCAAATGGTTTGAGCATCTTAGTTGAATGAAATGTTCTTGATTGAATGAAACGCTATGTTGTCCTTTGAAACAATCAACTTTTCTATTTTTATTTTTTTTTTCGACGTAGACCTTGAAGCTTGTTATGAGCAATGCAAATGACTCCATTTTTTTTTTCCCTTCCTTTTCTTTTTTATGGTTTTTCCTTTTCTGTTATTCTCTTTTCTTTTTCTTTTTCTTTTTCTATTCATTCCTCTTTTCTTCTTTCTTTAATTTTAAAGCATGGACCTAAATCACGTTTTACATAATTTATAATAGGGTTTGTTATATATCACCGTTTCATTTTTTTGCTCTTTTTGTTGTTTATTCCTCACGAATGATATGAAATAAAATGATGATATATAACAAACTCTCTTCTACAAATCTCATTCAGTCACAATCAAATTGCATAAAAATATATGACAGACTAATTTTTTTTTTTTATCAAACAATCTCCTAAGACTCATTTGATATATACAAAATGACTTTATCAATCTCTTAAAAGACTAATTAGATCTATATAATATAACCATCCTCAAATTTGCAATTCCTTTAATACAATAGAAATAGAAAAATGAGAAAAATAAAAACTATGAAAACGATATTTTTCAAAACTGCTTCGTTTCACATGAATATCATCAGAAGATCGCTTCAACTAGTTAGAATTAGTAACTTGAATGAAACATGCTCGGAGATCGGCAACGACGATGCTTGATCATGAAATGAATTGATGACGATGAATCGCAGTTGATATGAGAAGCAACAATCCATATGCGGGTCCATTTTGTCGCTATCACGGAGTTGTCAAGACTATAAAGAGAAAAGAAGTAGGGTTTTCATGGCCACATAGAGTATGTTCCACTGTCAAATTACCTTGGTTGGGCACCTGCATTCAATGATCGAAGTGAAGACAAGTCAAGAAATGAAAATTTTCAATGATCAATGATAATCATTTCTATTATATATATATATATATATATATGTGTATGTATATAGATATGGGTTAGAGTTCTGTTATGACCACAATTTTGTGCTGCACTGTGAGTATGCTAGTCTATGGAAAAACAATTTATATATATTAGTAGAAATCAAAATGAAAGAACAATGGAAGAACAATGAAAGAACAAAGAAGATTGAAGGAAATGATGAACAATGAAAGAACAAAGAAGATTGAAGGAAATGATTCAAAAAACAAAATGACAAATACAATAATCCATAGTAATTTGAGTGAATGCCTGGTACCCATTCTTCATAAGCAATAGCCATTTTAGGGGAAAAAATTAAAAATTAAATAGAGAATTTTATTCACAGATAAGCATTTTGGACCTTCAAATTGAAAGCAATCTGCACACCCACTCACCCACCCACCTTCCCTTCCTTAAACATAAAATCACTAGGAAGTATTGGTCCATTTATCTTCTGTAGTGTGTTCCCTCAGCCAAACTAAATTCAAATACCTTCATGTTTCTTTCCTTGGAGATAATATGGAACAATAAAATGTAAAAACCAATAACATAGAAGAGAAGAAAATTACTCTTCTGAATTCTCACATTTCAACAACAGCTCATGGGTTTTCTTACTCAATTCTCAGGAAACATTAACAAGAAAAGAAAATTTGTGCCATGTGGAACAGAACAGACGACAAATTTGAAATGCCAAGAAAATTTCAAGAAACAACCCACAAATTATAAAAAAAACAATGAACTATACTCATGTATGTATGTTGTACTTGCAAGTGTATAGGTATAAATGAAACAAAAGAAGAAGTGTATATATGCATATATAAAAACACAGTAAAAGATAAGGAGAAGAGATTGAAATGAGTGAGTAATTTGTACCGAGGAAGAAGAGGGCTTTGCTTGTGAGAAGAGTAGGCTATGAAACCAGGGAGTCCAAGGTTGATGGTGACAGAATTCGGATGGAGCGAAGAATACAAGTCTTGAATCAACGACCCATCTTTCAGAGCTGATGATTCTGAAACAGAGCTTTGACTCCTCAAGCCTTCTGGGCTCTTTGCCACAGATTGATCAAACACTGCCAGCATTCTCTCTCTCTCTCTCTCTTTCTCTCTAAACTTCCTTGTAATCACAAGAACAAAATCTCTCTCTCCATATATATATATATGTATGCAGCATATATTTTCTTTGAGATTAATGAAAGAAAATGTTCTTTCTGTGTACAAGAAATCAAGCCCATAAAACCCAAGAAATTAAACCCTATAAAATCAAACCCATTTATGGCAGCAACACAAAATCGGACTCAAGAAATCATATATATATCTATATTATATAATGAAGATTGAAGATTATGTGAGAATGAAGATTGAAGGGACCACATCTTACCTCGCTTCGCCGCCGAATCGACGCCATCTCGCCCGTCGTCGTCCTCCGACTCTACTCCTTCCGTTTCAGCTCTCTCCTCTCCTCTGTTCATGTTCTTTGATGGTTAGGGTTCATATCGACGAGAGAGCAAGGGACAAAGAGGGGAAAAGGGCCAAAAAAAATTTAAAAAAAAAAAATTGAATTTAACACCAAAACGACGTCGTTTTTGAACGTCGCAGGAAGCGCGGCAGGAAACCACCGCCGAGGATCCGGACTCCTCAAGAAGGGGATCTGGACTCACATTTTGTGCTCACAATTGCTATGCCCATCTGTCTTTTTTCTGATTTATACAGTCGGGACAGAATAAAGTAGCCTTGTAGTCTATCTGATAATTTGAAAAAACTAGGGGTGGTTTAGGATCTGATAATATGAAAGAATTATGAATGATTTAGAATGATCTAAATAAGTAGTCCTAAATAAATATATTTTTTAATTTTTTATAAAATATAAATTAAATTTGAAGTGATATGATAAAAAAATAATATAATTTAAATAAAATGATATAAATTAAATATAATAGTAACTTTTTAATTTTTTTAAAATATGCCAAACAAAACCAAGGCAAAAAAGAAATACACCTTTGAGGTTGGTTTAGGAAAAAGACTAAGACGCCACTGGGGTGATCCCACCACAATTGTGATTGGTCCATTTTTTTTTTAAATTTTTATATCCATCTCTTGCTGCCTCCCTCGTGTATGTGAGGGTGTTGGGGTCTGGATCATCTCTCGTTGGTTTAAAGTATAAATTATTCACTACAATTTAGAAAATTATAAATATCTTTTTTTTTGAAAAATTTTATTTAACAAAATTAATTAAAACATAAAATTCATAATTATTTTCAGGAT